TCACTATCTATTCCCAGGCGGTTGTTGTTATCGGCGTAAATTAACATGCAGCCCTTGTGTTGGCCTGGTCCTCGTCCAAGGCTCGGCGCCGGCCGACGATCTTGCAAGAGTGGAGCCTCCCGCAGCGTTCGCCTGCCGAGTTCACAGTGAGCTTCGTGCGCCATGTGAAAAGCCCAGGAGAAACCCATAGGAAGCACTCTGAAAATAGGATATATAGGCCCACCACTGTTCCTTCTCAGGTCTTCGACCGTGCTAGGAAGATGCCCAAGATGCACACGAAGAAGATCAGGATCGATAGGAGGGAGTGCAAAGAACTTACCCAGATCCTCGCTGATACCCAGTCTATAGAAATAGTCCTTCACATCTTCTTGAGCAATGAACAAATCTTCATCGTTTTCCAGCTCCAGTCGGGACCAACTATCAATGCTACCCAAAATGGTCGAGGGCGGCGTTCGGAACAACTTGTTCGACCTTCGTGCATCGACAATTAGTCGTTGCTTGCCCCCCTTTTTAGTAACAAAGAAAAGACCAACTTGAACACGAGGTTGTTGAGTAAATCCAAGCAGTTCACATTCATAGAGGTCTGCAATGAGTTGGTGATATCTCTCCCCATCATTTGCCAGCAACGGGTCCATATAGCAATCGTTGTGGCCGATGCCCTCTTGCGCGGCACCCATCTCTTCAGGTGAAAGTAACATCTCACTCTCAAAATGGTTCAGCTGATTTCGCTCCTTTTTTGGCAAAATATCTGCGAGCGAAGTTGGAGGACGTTGCCCACGAGGAAGTGAAAGACGATCCCTCATGTAGCTCGTGAGTTGCCCAGGACTCTCTGGCACTGGAATGCCATACTGTGCTGAGCCCTTACTCTTGAGAAGCTGCTGAAGCGCTCCTCCACAACTCTCATGCATGACTGGGGGTGGTCTCTGGCTATGTGCTTGCCGGATCCGCCCCAAGGCTGCCTTCTGCGCTGAATTCATAGGAGCGGCAGGGTATTCATCTGGATTGCCAAATCCCCCAAGGCTATTGAGGGCTCGAACCGTTCCCTCCATCGCCTCGAGCATTCTCCGCCTCTTCGAAACGCGAAGCTGTGACCTTCTAGACGAACATTCCTTTGGACTCCCTGTAAAATGAGTCTCCCTCGGTAAGGGTAGAGAATCCCCAAACTGATGGTGAGCATTGGAAAACTTCTTGGTGCCAGAAAAAAGCTCAGGCGGTGGCTCGACACCAGGGGCCACAACCCGCTCCGTCTCCTCAGGGGTTCTGTGGGGCCTCACTGCCCCCTTGACTCTTGTTCTTGCCCTTCCCTTTCTTGTGGTCCGGGTCCCTGACGTCTTCATTCTTTCTGAGGTGCTTCTTCTCTTCCTGTGCCAGACGTGTCTGCTTCATGATCTCGGCCCTGGTGGCGGCCTTGCGGGCTGCATACTGGGTGAGCGCCGGGTCGATCAAGCTGCCGTCCAAGGACTCCCTGATGCCCATGATGTCCTCCGCCGACTCGTATGAAGGAGCATCAGGGCGGCCCTGATGTGCCTGCTCGATCAGTGTTCTCCGGCGGTTGAGTGCTTCGGCAGACGCCAACGCCCCGACGTTTAGCTGGTCGTAGCAAACCATCAGGTTGAGGACTCGGCAAATGGTGGCATGCTCGAACACAGATCTGTCCGATGACCTCACGCCAGATTTCTTTATCCAACTCTCGTGATGCTGGACGAAATCGAAGCCAAGCCGTCGCAATTGACGAACATCATGACAGAGGGTGCGAGGACCTTGAAGGGGAAAGTCATCATACTCAACCTCCTCCAGTTCCCCAGCAGCCTCTGGGATGGTCCGCCAGCGCTCATCGGCATTGTCAAAAAGCACTGGCAGCACTCTCACATCTCTCTCGCCGGACCCTGCAGCGGCATCACCCCGGTGCAGCAAACCCTGCATCCGGCTGACATCTCCAGGTGCAACTCGCTGAACAAGGAACTCTTCCCCATTGGCCGAGAAAAGGTTGAAAATCTTCCCGTTTACCACACGCCCCGTGGAGTCAGCCGGGGGGGTCAACTCTTCTCCCAATGGCCCACCAGAAGAGCGGTAGACCACCAGATTCATGCCCTGCTCATCGTCAAGCACCCTGTCATCCCCATGGCCGGCTTCCTCGGCAGGCCTACGGACTGCAGGCCTGGCCAGGTCGTCAACCACTTCACCGGATTTGGAAACCTTTCCAGAGACACGACGCCGCTCAACACGAGCTGCAGCATGTCGTTGGCCGAGAGCGATAAGCCTTCTGAACTCTTCGTTTCCTATACTTCCCTGGTCAGAATGCTTCGGCAAATAGGTGTCCCTTTCTCTCACACCCGCAGGCAACCTGGAACGATCGTATCTAAGGATCTCGGTGTATATATTACCTACTTGAAGAACAGTAATTTCGATATCTCTGTCCGGGGTAACAACAACGACCTGGTCCCCTCCAACTGCATGCAGAATGCCACGCCAATGCAAAAGCTGCGGGTCATCCGCGAAGCGTACGAGCACGGCGTCTTGCTGCAACCACTTCGCCATCTTCTTCAAAATCGTCAAATGGATCACAGCGGTCTAGGGACTTCTCTCTTACCACAGTCTCTATGGAGATAGGATTGCCCACCACAATGGCTGGCACCCTACGGTGGCAATGAACGAGGCCCCACAAAAGAACTGCAGCGAGAAAGCCGAGCACCCAGCAAACCGACCCAGTCCAGAAGCAGCTCTTGTCCTCACACAAGTTCAATGCCGCCTCCGACACGGCCTTCTCCTTTTCGCAGGCGAGTCGCTGAGTGAAATGCTCAAGGCAGCGGCTGCCCAGCTCGGAGAACTCCACGCTAAAAGCAGCTGAGTCTGAACACTTTGACCTCCCCCTCTCTGCAAACCAGAACAGTAGGAGCTTAGCAGAATCCACAATGATGCTGCGCCCCAGCTCAAACCAGTCGACCATCCATAGGGGGACACCAATCACAAACTGCCCTGAGAAGATCTTGAGATTTAAAAGCCACCAGAAACTCAAGATGATCGGCAAAACAGTCTTCGACTAATATACATTACATTACATTACATTACATTACATTACATTACATTACATTACATTACATTACATTACATTACATTACATTACATTACATTACATTACATTTACATTACATTACATTACATTACATTACATTACATTACATTACATTACATTACATTACATTACATTACATTACACATTACATACATACATACATACATACATACATACATACATACATACATACATACATACATACATACATACATACATACATACATACATACATACATACATACATACATACATACATACATACATACATACATACATACATACATACATACATACATACATACATACATACATACATACATACATACATACATACATACATACATACATACATGACATACATACATACATACATACATACATACATACATACATACATACATACATACATACATACATACATACATACATACATACATACATACATACATACATACATACATACATACATACATACATACATACATACATACATACATACATACATACATACATACATACATACATACATACATACATACATACATACATACATACATACATACATACATACATACATACATACATACATACATACATACATACATACATACATTACATACATACATACATACATACATACATACATACATACATACATACATACACATACATACATACATACATACATACATACATACATACATACATACATACATACATACATACATACATACATACATACATACATACATACATACATACATACATACATACATACATACATACATACATACATACATACATACATACATACATACATACATACATACATTACATACATACATACATACATACATACATACATACATACATACATACATACATACATACATACATACATACATACATACATACATACATACATACATACATACATACATACATACATACATACATACATACATACATACATACATACATACATACATACATACATACATACATACATACATACATACATACATACATACATACATACATACATACATACATACATACATACATACATACATACATACATACATACATACATACATACATACATACATACATACATACATACATACATACATACATACATACATACATACATACATACATACATACATACATACATACATACATACATACATACATACATACATACATACATACATACATACATACATACATACACATACATACATACATACATACATACATACATACATACATACATACATACATACATACATACATACATACATACATACATACATACATACATACATACATACATACATACATACATACATACATACATACATACATACATACATACATACATACATACATACATACATACATACATACATACATACATACATACATACATACATACATACATACATACATACATACATACATACATACATACATACATACATACATACATACATACATACATACATACATACATACATACATACATACATACATACATGCATACATGCATACATACATACATACATATTTACATGCATACATACATACATACATACATACAAACATACATACATACATACATACATTGCATACATACATGCATACATGCATACATACATACATACATATTTACATGCATGCATACATACGAGAGAGGGAGATTGGGGAGAGAGTGGCTTGGGGGGATGGGGAGGATGGGGGGCTGAGGGAGGGAGAGAGGACGACAGAACACACACGCGAGACAAGGGAGAGAGGCAGAAGGAGAAAAGGGAGAGGACAATGTCGGCGGACTGAGCCGGAGGCTCTACAGTAAGGGCAGTGCATGTCGCATTGAAGCGCGCGTTGTTTGGCAGTTCTCAACAGCATCTAGCCGAGTTGCAATGTAGCGGCTGAGTGGGGCTGAGGCATGGAAAATCTTTGGCCGGAAGAAGAGTTGGCCCTTCCTAGGCCCGGGCCAGGGGGCTTTCTCTCCGAGTTGGTAGAAGCCGCCTGGAAGACTCATCCGAATCTGTCGCAGCAGCGCCTTCTGAACAGCCCAGCGCTGTTCGCCGGAGAGGTGTTCTTGTGCCAAGGTGCTGGTCAAGGCATCGATGACCTGCTTAGTGCACACTTGAGCGCACACCTCGGTCACCTCGCTCGGTGGAAGAAGGCGTTGAAGGGACCGGAGGTTTTGCGTGTCCGCCCGGCTGTACAGCCATGTCGGCATGACCTGCTGGGTCTCATCCAGCGACAGGAATTCACTCCAAAGAGCTGGATTAGATAGAACTCGCCCGGCATACAGGTTGACCAGGAAAGACAGGCAGCCGACGATGCGGCGAGAGTCAAGTCGGCTCTGGAGCCCGACATGTGGATCCCAATGTTCGAGGGGGAAAGATTCTCCACGGCCAAGGGCGGCTTGCTCTATTTGCCCTACAAGCGTGCTGACCGCTTCTAGCAAGTCTGCTGTCTTGCCGGGACCCACATGATCAGCAGCTTGGTAGCTCAGCCTGCGGTGGCATCGCGTGATCGATTCGAAGTGGTCCTGCCTGTTCAGCTGCCCTCCATTGATGGAAAAGGAAAAGGTTAATGTCAACCTGTCTTGGCCCTCTGTCAAGTCGATTTTCTTGACGAACTCTTCTTGCAAAAGTGGCAAGCTGTGCTCGGCGGGCTTGTCCTGGATTCGGTTCCACAATCATCAGCAACTGCACTCGGCTGTCAACATGCCTCTAAGACATTAAATTGATATGTTGCAAAAAACCCAAAAATCATTGCTCAGGTTGCGTAGCATGCCTGTGGACTTGCCAAAACACTGCAATGGCTTTGAGTTGTTGCAAGGTTTTACGCCCCCACTTTCTCATGAGACTCAAGCAACAATCTCTTTGTCCGGGAGGAGTCAAAAGCTTCAACAAGCTGCCAATGACCCCGTTTCCTTCTACTGCCTTCTGTGGCTGACGTGGGACCCGTAACAAGCAAAGGCAGGTCAAAAAGTCCTCGCTCGTTGCCTCAAAAACAAAAAGAGAAAACGGTTGCCAATCGCCAACCGAACGCACACCTCCAGCCCCTCCTGTCTCCCCTCCCGGTCGCCTCGCAGTCCAATAGCCAGGCCCCGCAGCTGCGGAGCCTCGCTTGGGCCTCCAGATCGCTACCGCTCAGCTCGGCGGCCAAGTATGCCGTGGCGTCCACCACGTGAACCTTCAGAAACGAAAGCAAGCGAAAGCCGGGGGCTGTGCAACTTTGCCAACTGTGCAACAGTACTTTGCCGCAACTTTCAACTTCCGCAACTGTGCAACAGTGCTTCGCCCTTGTCGACGCGCAACAGCAACTCACACGCGAGATGTCATATGTGCTCTCAATTCGCAACCACCGGCGTCGGCTGGGCGGCACCCCATCACCCCATACCCTTGCCTGCAGCTCGCCCTCGACAAGCGAAAAGGCCATATTCCCCGGCCAGCCAGGATGCTCAACGCAAATCGAGAAATTGTTGCGCAGGTCCTGGGCATTAAGGGAGCAGAACTTTGGCCGTTGCTGCAAATTGTCCTGCCTGATGTTGCCTTTGCCTTTCTGGCTTTGCTGCCTTGCTTGCCATTCTCACCTTTTCATCCTGTGTTGTTGTTCCCTTTCCCGCCTGTCCTACCTTTTTTGACATGGTTGCATGTCTTGCCTTGGATGCTTTCCTCGTCTTCGTGACCATTCTTGCCTCTGTTGCCTTTTTTGCAGTGTTTGCAGCTCTTGCGTGTTGCCTTTCTTGCCCCCTACTTTCCTTTCTTGCTCATGTTATTGCTCTTGGTGGCTTGTTTGCTTTGCTGTGTTTGTCTGCGTTCTGGCACGTGTTGCCTGCGTTTCTGCCTTTGTTGTTTCCAGCCTCCACGTTGCCTATACGGTGCCTTTGTTATTTGCTTGTGGCCCTAGCCATAGTTGCCATTGTTGCTTGCCTGAGCTCTTCGCTCTTACGGCGGGTGCTGGGTGGGAAACGTTGGAGCAACCCCTGCAGCTAACCAGCGCAGCTGATGATGGCGAACCAAAACGAAACATCAGATGTAAGAATGGTCCCGCCCACCCGCCCATCACACTCACACACCCACCCACCCTCCACGCACCCACCTACCCTTCCCTTTCCACCCTCCCCACCCTTCCCACCCACCCCTCCCACACTTCCCACCCCCCCGCCACCTTGTGTGCCGTGTGCGTGAGCCGTGCGCGCTTGCATGCATGCGTGCGGCGCGCTCGCGCACTGCATGGGGCGCACACCCAAAGCCAATCAGACGAAGACTGCGTCCCCGGCATCCCTTCTCAGTCCCACAGAAACCCGTGGAAGAATGAAGGAAAATCGCAGTATTTGCAAGGTTTTCCGCACAGTGGCGGCCCCCCTTTCGCCGAAACCCCGCGATCGCAAACACCAAAACTTTCGGACGCTGGCGATGCAGGAGTGCTTGGACGCTGGTGAGGCTGTTGGCGCTGGCAATGGTCGGGGGCGATTTATTTGCACGGTATTTGCAGTGTTTTCAAAAGTTGGGCACCGTGGCATCAGGAGCCCGTCGCAAGGCCAGGGGTGTCGAGGGATGTGTTGGGATCCGAATGTCTGGGCTGGCCTGTGTCCGGCTAATGCAGGGGATGCTGAAAGGGAGCAACAAAACACCCTACGGGTAGGGCTGCCCCCGCTCTTCGAGCTCGAAAACACACCTTGCTTTTCTTGTCTTTCTCTCCACGGATGGAAGGCTTCGCCGCCAAGATGACCACAGGGGGCAGAGGTGCCCGTGTCACTCCCTCTGCCAACGAAGCTGGGTGACATGTGGCTAGGATATCATTCAGGGACGCCTGAATCACGCGCCGGCGCCGGTGATCTTTATATCTTGACCCCGCACATTTGTCGCAGAGAATTTATGATGTGTTGATTGTTGATTTCTATCTTCCCTGGCTCTCGGATGTTCCTCTGTGTTGATTTCCGAGATGCAATTTCTGAAGCTTATGCAACCTTTGTGACCTTCCACATTCCAAAGTGTGTATCGCTCGGCTTTCCGAGAAGGCGCCGGGTTTGACGGGTTTCCATGCCCGGCTCCTCACTGGGGGGGTCATCCTTATTTGTTACCTTGAGGATTCTCTCCGTCAATGATAGGGGGGAGACGGAGAGAAGGAAAGGAGAATCATCCTTATCCAGGGCACCAGTTGGCGCTGGACTTCTCTGGCACTCCCTCCCAATTAAAGGCCCTACGTCTCACCCGAAACACCGTTCAGCGCTTCCTGTTCATTCAAATTCAGACTCAGCATTCACAATCAGGCTGCTGCGTGACGTGTTTAGGTTTGTTTCGGTTTCCCGTGTTGCCTTCGGGCGCAAAACAAGTCAAGTGATCCTGACGCGCGACACCATGCAGTCCCGACACCACCAGAGAATGGAATCGGTGATCACCTCGTACACCTTTCCGGGAGCAATCCAACAGCAGACTTCGGACTACAACAGCGTCCAGGACCTCCGACGCCCTACATGCCGGCGCGTGCACGATCTGCACTTCTGTACCGAAATCCCTCAACGGCACCAACCACGCACTTCGGCACCCACCACCCAACGACCCCGACTTTCGGCAACCAGACCTTCGCCGTCCATCGTGACAGCCAACCTCACTCCAACCTTTCTTCTTTCACATCACCACCACCACCACCCCACGTTCTCACCAGTCCATCGGCTACTGCTCCACTTCCGCGTCAAGTTTACGAAGCCGCTCTTTAACAAGACATCGCCGACCATCCAGAGATTGCCGAGGGGCTCGTGTGATTCTTCGGCCCGGTCCGGAATCCAGACAGACCACACATCGTAGCCAGGACCGGCGGAGCTATCGCGCTCCCGTGGACGCGACCATCACGATCAACGCGAACATCATTCGTGGCGACTTGACTTTCAGCGGCCTGATCATCGGCGACTTGATTCTCGGCGACCTGATTCTCGCCGTCCTGTTGCTCGGCGACCTGATTCTCGACGCCGTGTCCCTGACGAACAACGGTGTCAACCTCGGCAACCTCATCAAACCTGCCGCGCGCACCACTCGGGCTCCTTGATCCGACACTGAACCTCACCCAACTGGCTGCCACGCAGGGTCGCAGCCGTGTACCGACCAAACAACACCGGAGTCCTGCACGCATACCCGTCAGCTACGCTTGGCGAACATGCTCAAGGAAGCCAACGCGATCCTGGGCGCCGGCATCCACGCCCACACCGATGGCATCTTCACATGGGTCTACAGACCAAAACACCATGCGCATGACGGGCATCCGCTTGTGCTTCTGCGCCAACCCCTTCGACGGTGTGGCGCGATACCAATACTGTTGGGCTCATGGCACAACACGCGCCGGAGTCGCAGGGATATTGAAAGACCGTCTACTCCGTCCCAACTCTTGGGGCAACAATGACTTCCCGTCCTTCGGATTCTTCGGCTTCGGGATGCAGGGCAACCTCAACGAGGACAACGCCAACGACCTCCTCCAAAAACTGTACAAGATCGGCAAAGGACAGCAAGCAGCCAAGCAGCCATCGTGCAGGTGGTGTCGGAAATCCAGCGGCTGCGCCGTCACCGTGGAGCAGTTCGAGGCGACTACTGGGCCTTCCACGCGGCTCACTCCACGCTTCGCCAGGTCGTGGTGGTCAGACCCCTTTGATGTGTTCACATGCTCGCGTTTCACCGACTCGGCTGTCATTCCAAATATCACCGATGCAACCTTCGCTGCCGAACGTTTCACTGATGTGTCGCTGCCACTGGTTGGCAACCCTTTATCCCTGTGTCTTCTGTCTCACCGCATTTTGTGTCGCAGCAATAAGCGATCAAATGGGTCAATTCGGATCGATTTCGGACACCATCACCTACCACTCTGGCGACCAACCACGGCACGCTCCTGCGGGTCCACACGACCTGGCCCTTACGACAGACGTTGGCAACAACCCACTGCTCCCATCTTGGGCTCTTCCTTCTTCGGCGCCGCGGCTTCTGCACCAACCCGACCATGCTATGGCGGCCACACGGCCTCCTTCACTTTCCCTTTCATTCCCTCCCTCACTCCCGGCGGCGAACAGAAGCTGGTTTTACCAACCTACATGCGTCGTCTCTCCACTCCAGATTCCATTCAGATAGCGCGCTTTTCCAGTGCGGGTGGGTTGCACCAGCAAACTTCCCGTCCCGTCTTTCCCTGCAAAAACCATGCTGAGGTGGAGGGGTGGTGGCGGTTGCCAAAAGACCTACAACCAACCAACCAACCGACCGACCGACCGACCGACCAACCAACCAACCAACCAACCAACCGGCCAACCGGCCAACCAGCCAATCAGCCAACCAGCCAACCAGCCAACCATCCAACCATCCAACCAGGTAACCGTCCAAGCCATCCATCCATCCGTCCAGCCAGTCCAAATCCGTCCATCCACCCAGCCATATCCATCTCCATCCATCCATCCATCCATCCACTATCCATCCACTCATCCATATCGTTCAATCCTTGCATCCATCCGCCATCCATCGCGTCTATCCATCCAGCCATCCATCCCGCGCGGCGGACAGCGAGGTACAATCATTGTTGTTGCTGCTGTGTTTGTTGTTGTTGTTGTTGTTGTTGTTGTTGTTGTTGTTGTTGTTGTTGTTGTTGTTGTTGCTGTTGCTGTTGCTGTTGCTGTTGCTGCCGCTGCCGCTGCCGCTGTTGCTGTTGCTGTTGCTGTTGCTGTTGCTGCGCTGCTGCTGCTGCTGCTGCTGCTGCTGCTGCTAGTGTTGCGGTTGTGGTTGTGGTTGTGGTTGTGGTTGTGGCTGTGGCTGTGGCTGTGGCTGTGGTTGTGGTTGTGGTTGTTGTGGTTGTGGTTGTGGTTGTGGTTGTGGTTGTGGTTGTTGTTGGTGGTGGTGGTGGTGTTGTTGTTGTGGTTGCGGTTGTGGTTGTGGTTGTGGTTGTGGTTGTGGTTGTGGTTGTGGTTGTGGTTGTGGTTGTTGTTGTTGTTGTTGTTGTTGTTGTTGTTGTTGTTGTTGTTGGGTTGTTGGGTTGTTGGGTTGTTGTTGTTGTTGCTGCTGCTGCTGCTGCTGATGTTGTTGTTGTTGCTGCTGTTGTTGTCGTCGTGGCCTCATTCAGTCACAGGGTACAATAATTCAAACACGTGCCTATTATTCCGATGCTTCTGGAAACCACGTAGCAGCATTGACAGCAGCCGCAACCACCGTTGGAACCGCAACAGCAACTGCAGCAGCTAGAACAACAACAAGCTACTAGGACGAAAGCACCACGACCAACAGGAGGCCAGGAGGCTAAACGACACGCCAAGAAAGCGACAACCACCACAACGACTGCGACGAGTACGACCAAATGGCGCCCCACTGACACCAAACACATGAACACATTAACAACTTGTGCAAATTCAAGCAAGCGCAGCCAAACAGTCAGCAAAACACCAACGTACATTTTGAATTAGGTACAAAAAAGACCTAAAGGCTGTGGTGGGCAGTAAAACAACAGCTGTATCACTGCAAGCCTGC